TGTTACCAACTCGGTGCGCTTGTTGTTCTTTCCTGACTTATGACAATGATGTGCTGGCCAGATCCCGTTTTGTGCAATTGAAAAGCTGGTGGCAAATTTTGAAGTCATTTCTCACTTATTTTAACCAAACAGACTCAGGAAGAGAAAGTAAACAAGACAAAAGGAACAGAGTAAAGGACAAAGGAAAGAGGTGATTCCTAACAAGAAAACTACAAAGTAGAAACCTATCAGATGTGGATACCAACTATAATGACCATGACATGCACCCGTAGCCTATTTTGTTGAGCAAGTCTGATGTTCAACTCCTGTTATACCTCTAAACCGTGAAACTGGCTTCAATGCTCCGATCATCCAATCTGATTCACAATCCTTATTCGACTTGTAGTGTCCGAAGGGTTTTCACCATCAAGCCTCTCTCATTTTGTTCTTTCTCTCAACTTACCGTCGCCTTACGGTGCTCGCGAGAGTTTTCACCAATAATACTCTCTCATTTTTGGATTTCTCTCAGCTCTCATCGCCCTACGGTGCCCGTGAGGGTTTTCACCAATAAGACTCTCTCATTTTCATTATTTTCTACTTGGAGCAGAGTGTTGCCCTTGATATGAATCACCTCCACTTGCTTGACTTGGCATTTCTCGAAGACTGATCGGAAGGTCTTCCTTTGGACCGTAACGTGGGCTTTTGGATATGGTTAGAAACAAAGGGTATCAAAATGCTCAAAACAACTCATTTGGGTTTAAGATTACAACTTTCGGAATCAGATTTCCTACAACAACCACAACTTCTGCCCCAGTTTCTTTGCTTGGGGACTTTTGGATTTTATTTTGATGGGACCGAACCATGAGGCTGCCTACGTATCCTTAAAAGGAATCAGGTCGAACGTAGTTCATGACATAGGAATTGCTCTGTTGTTGTGATTTTTCTTTTCTCTTTCTCTTTCTCTTTTCTTTTCTTTCTTCCTTTTCCTCTTTTTGTTGTTGTTTTTTCTTCTTTCTTTTTCCTCTTTTTTTTCTTTTTTTTTTCGATTTTCATTTTTTCTTCTCTCTTTTCATTCTTTTCTTTTCTCCTTTTCCTTTACTTATCTTTCATGCTTGTGTTTCTGATCCTTGCTACTGATTCCGAAAGAGGGGTATGAAAGAAAATAAACAAGGCTCAAAGGGGTAACGAAGTATAAGGTGTTTAGATAGCAGAACAAAATGCCTTTGTCATTCCAATCTTCAAAACATGTCAAGTGCAAACAACACAATTAAACAAACCAAGGAAAACATTCGTAACATCTTTTGATTGCGCCAGACTTGATGACCATATCCACATATTCGCCTTCTACATCTGTTACATACAAAGCACCATTGGACAACACTCTCACTCTCATTACCATGAACGGCCCCTGTCAATTTGGGCAAACTTGCCTTTAGCTTCAAACTGATGCGGCATGATGCATTTCGACATGGTTTCTTTATGTTATATCTGCCCAGTTTCACACAATTTGGGCTTGAAGTGATCTAAAAATGCCTTTACTTATTTCCCTCAAATGTCCCTATCATCTTCAAAATTGTTTCATTCAGCTTTATGACTAAACTGACTTTTTAAAGCCAAGCTGAGAATTACGCATGCATGTCATGTTACTAGAGTCAACAGGAAAAGAACTATAAAAGAAAAGAGAACTAAACGAAAATGACTAAAAATCACAGAAAATAAAAAACTTCATTAGACAGATGGTGAAAGGGTTTGGACAACAAAACAAACAAACTAAACAGGGGTTACGAACCTAGAACAAAGCTAGACAACGCTAAACAAGTTACTATGACTAAAGAAACTAGGCAAAATAAAAGGATAGAAAGGTTTGAGTCACAAGACAATATCCGGATTACAACCCTGAAATAACCCGGACAGCAGAAATAACAACAAAATAAACCACCAAAAACTCCTCCCTGGCTAACCAAGAAAAGAGCGTCTTTCCAATCATCAAACTCAACATCTTAGCCACTGACTTCTGTATCAACAATAGTATGACCTTCACACGTCTCCATCACATTGTTCTTAACAGATTGCCTTTGGGTTCCCTTTGCCTGCTCGTTATTAGGATCAACCTCTAATAGCGTTGAAAGCTTAGTAGCACGTGGACCTCCGAGGCTCCCAGAAGAACTCTCACATTCCTTTTCAAAATAAACCATACCCACCATATGCGTCTCATTATGCACAGGCGATAGACTTTGGCTAGTGTCTGCTGCATCTGGATTTTGCACGACAATGTCGCTTACATCAATAAGCTTCTGAATCGCATTCTTCAGATTCCAATACTTCTCTAAGTCATGCCCCTGGGCATCTGAGCAATAGGCGCACCTTTGAGAAAAATCAAACTTCTTTAGAAGAGGGTTTGGCATTTTTATCTAGGTAACATGTCAAATTCCTTAGCCTCTGGAACAGACTGGCATATGACACTCCCAATGGAGTGAATGTTTTCTTCTTCTGTAACCTCTCGTTCTTAAAGACTTGACTGGGCCGGAAACCTGATCCAGGGGGTTTTCGATAGGATCGTAGGGGTAGATAGGCATTTTGTGGAGCTGGGTACTGGGAGAGTGATGTACAACTTTGGGAGTTCTGTAGAGAGAAGTGGCATTGGGGAGGATCATCTGGTGTATAAGGATATCCACAGGGACGATGTCGAGGCTAGAAGTGTTGATCGGGAAAGCCCGTTGGATCATCTTTTCTGTTTCTCTTTCTTCCACCCAAGCTTACTGGGATGTTCTGAATGTTTTTCGAACAACTCATGATTTTGCCTGACTTGATTCCCTCTTCTACTAGCTCCCCCATTTTTAACATATCATTGAAAGGCTTCCCCAGGGCCGGGATCAAATGACTGAAGTAGGTGGGACCCTGAGCTTGTAGGAAAAGCTCAACCATCTCTTCTTCACCAATCAGGGTATTGACTCGAGCAGCCTGCTCCCTCCATTTGAGCCCAAACTCTCTAAAGCTTTCCTCCGGCTTCTTTTCCATTTTAGATAGGGAGGAGAGGTCTGGGGTGACACCCGATCTGTATTGAAAGTATCGAACAAAATCTTGAACCATGTCACCCAATGTAGGCCACTTACCAATATCTTGGCGATTATGCCATTCCAACGCTACCCCAGTCAGGCTCTCACTAAAGTACGCCATCAACAAATCATCTTTCTCTCCAACACTTCTCATTTTACTGCAATAATCCCTCAAATGGGCTACCGGATACCCACACCCATCATACAAGTTAAACTTTGGCACTTTAAACCTCGCAGGCAGACAAACGTCGGGGGACATAGACAATTATTTGTAAGACATGCTACCCTGGTCTCCCGTTCCTTGCTTGTTCTTTAAGGACTGTTCTATGCCTTTCAGCCTCCTGGGTATCCCATCTCGCCCTTTTATTCCTGTGAACTCTTCATTTACAACATGAGGCTCATCCCTTAGGCCCTGTTTGTATGAGTAGGGAACCTTGTGGGAAACCTCTGAGGAGTAATGTTGGGCATCATGAGCTTGGAGATAAGCGGGTGGATCTGGAGAGTATGGAGGATCATCTGACATTGTGTCCGGAGTTTGGGTAAGGGCAGCATCTAGGAAGCTAGGTGGTGGCGGGGCGGCACCTTCCCAGTCATCCAAGCCTGATACATGTCATCCATGTGTTGTTTTAACATCTTTACCTCTTCAACCAACCCATTGTCCTGTTCAACCAACTGCTTTCGAGCGCCGGTATCAACCAACTCAGTTCTGTTGTTGTCTGCCATTGCCTTTGACTTTATGTTGTAGAGAAGAGTTACCACTTTAAAACCACAAACCAACCACCCTTCTGTTATGAATATAACAAAATGAAGCCATCACGTTAGCATTAGAGAATTTAACATAATTTAATCTCACTTTATGTGCAATGCACCTAGCCACAGTTATTGGTTCTAAAATGACTTCGAGGGTACAAAGGTCAGTTGGCATCATCCCAATTTGTTCATTTCAACCTCTCTTTTCTTTGCTTTTCTAGCATTTGCTGGCTTGCCAATGGGTCATGATTTCTCTTTTTTTTAATCATCACCCTTTCTTTCTCTCATATCTCACATCCCACAATTTCACCTCTTTTTTTCTTTTCTTTTTTTTTCCTTTTTCTTTTTTTTCTTTTAATTGTAATAATAAAAAAATGATTCGATCGAACCCTATGTAGTTTGCCTACATATCATGACCCTGCATGAATCAGATCTTTTCGTAGTTCTGGGAGATCGAGAGTAAAGCACATAAACTAACGTTTTCTTTTTCATTTTCTTCTTCCTTTTTTCTTTTTACCTTAGTGACTAATCCGATGAGAAAAGAGAAATAAAAGAGGCAAATCTTTTTATTTTGAATTTTCTAGACTGAATGCTCTATAATCTATTCTAAACTCAAGCTTAATGAGCATGTTTTTTCTTTTCTTTTTTTAAACAAATACTCTATTAAGGAAAATCCTAGAAGAGAAAAACCCCTTTTTCATTTTTTTATGAAGAAAATCTAAAGAACAAACCACAGAAAAGTAATTGAATTTTCATTTGATATCCTGGCGCAAGATTTTGAAACAAGCAATAAACAAAATAAAATAAAATATTTTTGGATTTCAATTTTGATTGCTTAAAGGAAAAATTCTAATGATAGACAAAAGACAAAGTATGTTTTTTTTATGTACAATATCCTAAAGTTCTAATAAAAATAAAAGAATTTTTTTTCAAGTCATTTTTTTATCAATTTCCAAAGAAAAACCTCAACAGAAAATCTTTTTGGATTTTTGGATTTAATATCTTAAAAGAAAACTTTTAAAGAGGTACTAAAGAAAATTCTCTTTTTTTTTTTGAAAAAGCAATTTTTATTTTGATATTAATTGCCTAAAGGAAAAACAACCTCAAAGGAAATTTTTTTCATTTATAGAATTAGTATTCTAAAGAAAACTTATAACGAAAATATAAAAACGCAAAATTTTCTTCTTTTTTTTTTTTGACTTGTAACATATTTCCAAATACCAAATAAGGAATACAATAACAAAAGACTAGGCGAACTTAACTAGACTATTACAAACTCTAACATCACCCAAAAGACCGAATACTACTATACATGACTAGAAAGTAAAATATGAACAATTGACTCAAAAATATAAAATGACTCCTCGAGCAACTTCTGAATGCAGTGATCCTGGGGTATCTGTCATGCCCAAACTCCGGTAAGTAAATTCACACCTGTATAAGAAAACTTAAACCAACACTATGTGAGACAATAACATTCCCAACTAGACACATACAAGACATGGTTGCGGTTATTTTTGCAAAATGACTTATTTGACCAAAAAGTGGCTAGAAGTGCAAAATTTGGCTAAAACCCCGCAAAGCCAAGAACCTAAGATTTACTAGGAAGACCGGACCCTATGTGGGATGCCTACGTATCACGTCCCAAAAGACGAGAATCAGGTATGCGTAGTTCGGGCAAATTGGATACGGGCGAGAATAATAAAAACAACTGACATATAGAAAACACATTTTTTCTTTTTTTTCGAGAAATGATGAAACATATAAAATCTTTTTGGATTTTCTTTTCTTTTTTTTCGATTTTTTTTATTTTTGACAAATGATAAGAAGTGCAATTTTTTTTTGAAGTTTCCATGCTCTTTTTTCTTAATAAAATGTAACAAAAATATAATTGGGCCCTACTCGCTTCATCCTCACACTTCAGCCTCTCTTTTTTCTCTTTTTGTTTCCTCTTTTTTTTTCATTCGCCCTCAATTATCATTGGTCCACCAAATGACCCTTTTACCCTTGAAGAAATGCAACATGTAGCACATAGGATGCATCAAGATGGTTTGTTATTTTGGGTACACCTGTCCTAGACGGACCCAACCCCTGTATTGAGTCCCCTAAGTCAAATACACGTGATGCAGACAAATATTCCTACTAGGGATCCGGCATGAGGCTGTGTTTTTCTAAGTTTAAAAACCTGGGTTTATTTGTTCTAGACCTGGCTTACCTGAGCGGATAGCTCGAGCCGAGGGGGGCAGCGTACCGGGAATATAGAAGCTTCACCGGCTTTGCAACTTGTCCGAACCTCGTTCGAATATGACTCTAACAAAAAAGAAGTCACACAAAGTGCACATNCCTGAACCAGAGATTCTGGGTTCGATCCCCAGCAGAGTTACCAGAGCTGTCACACCTCCTTTTTCCTACACCCCCGGAGAAGGGTAGTATTTAAGGGAGTTTTTTTCAATTAAAGTGACAATCAAACCGGGATTATTTTATTAAAATTCAGAGTCGCCACTTGGGATAATTTTATGGTGTCCCAAGTTACCGGTTCAAATCCCGAATCGAGGAAAATATTGACTCTGTTTAACAGTCCGCGCACCAGAAATCCAGGTAAGGAATTCTGTTAACCCGGGAAAAGGTGTTAGGCATTCCCGGATTTCGTGGTTCTAGCACGGTCGCTCAACTGTTGTATTCAGCTTAATTATCTAATTTTAATACATGTTTTAGCCTATGGTTTGATTTTAACTTTATAACCTCTTTTATTTAATTATTTTCAGGAAGATTGCAACGCTATTAAAACACGTCTTGGACCACGTCACATAAATGCACCCGCGGTCTTTGACATATTTTAACATTCTTGTTGAGATTTGGATTTGTCACATAAATGCGCACCTGAATTTCTTATCCACCATCTTCTATCACTTAATTCGACAAAGCATCTAACATTCAACATTCGTAATTGGTCATCCCACGTATACAACAAATTGATTTATCAACAAGAATCTGAGCAACTCCTTAATCTAATAATCTAGTGATAAGCAAACAAGACTTGACGATATAAACTTAAAAAAAGATAACAAATATATTACTACTACTTACACGGCAAGAAGTTAAAGCGAGAAAACAAAACTGATGCAACAAAAATGTATCAAGAATACTCACAGATAAACCACAAAGAAATATGTCACGATTTGCTCTTCGGCTAATAAGAACAAACTCTGATTTGTTTACAGCAACGTTGAGTTTCAACAGCTCGAACTCGACGAAAAAAATGGATAGCGATAACCATAGACCGGAACCAATCGTACGGCAACCTCCACATGACTCAAACTCACAAATGACTCCAGACTTCAGTTAAACATCCATGTTTCGGAAACTAAGAATCAAATCGAGGACGAGGAAGACGAAACATTTTTTTGTACTATTTTTCGACTTTCTAAATGACAAACCTGACTTACGCTCGTTCCCTCGCTCTGTTCGTGTGAGTGACTGTATGTGCGCTCGATCTGATGGGGTTTACTGGTTTTCTAACGAGTTCTGTGATGAGGGAACGACTGGTTTGCCGGCGATTGTGACGGCGTGAAAGAGTGGAGGAGTTCCGGCTTTTTTATCTGGTGTGGCTAGATCTCTTTGGTCTTAAGGTGCTAGGGTTGGTCTTATGTCTTCACGAGGAAGATGAAGATCTTCAGCCTTTCCTTTTTCGAAAAATGGCGCCTGGATTTCCTTGGTTCAAAAATGGCTGAAGATATCGTTGGGGTTCCGATGGAGAAGACGACCAGTGGAAGGGTCCTGCGTTGTGAAAAAGCTTCGCAGCTTTTCTTCCTTTCAGCGTTCTCTTTTCGGGTGGGTGGCTAATTTCCGGCGAGCCTTGGTGGTGGCCGGAGTGGTCGAAGGAGATTATATCAGGGATCGTTTGTGTATCTAGGTTCAGTCCAAAAATCCAAGAGAAACAACTGACTTCTCACCCTGTTCGTTTCTGATGTCTTCTTTCTTCGTTCTTCATGAAGAAGAAAAAGAAGTTCAGGGGGTCGTTTGTGTATCTTGGTTCAGTCCAAAAATCCAAGAGAAACAACTGACTTCTCACCCTGTTCGGTTCTGATGTCTTCTTTCTTCGTTCTTCTTGAAGAAGAAGAAGTTCAGGGGGTCGTTTGGGTATGGGGTGGTTCGAAGAAGACGATGACGGGGGGGTCGTTCCTTGCGCAGCTTTTTCAGCTTTTTTGTTGTTCTCCTCCTAGATTTTTGCGTTAGGTCCTTCTTATATTGTAGAGTCTAGGTCTAGATAGTTGTAGGGTTTTTAGGTTAAGGGGTATGGGCCTAGGAATTCTGGGCTTGGGAATTATGGGTTAGGTCCAAAATTAGGTCTAAAAATGGGTTGCTAGAGCCCAAGCTTTATTCTTTGCGTGCGAACGAGATTAAAAATACGGTCTCATTTATTAATTAATCCTACTATTCAAATAGTTACTAAAATAAGACTAACCATTAAAACAAACCTATTTTTGATATTTTCAAATATCATATTAAAATAAAAATACGATACTATTTTTGTATATATATATTTTTTAGATTAAAAATGACTACAAAATATTAATAAACCTATTTTTGTGATTTTTGTTTTCTTGTAATAAAATAAAGTAAAAGAGTCAAAATTACTTAAAATATCTATATTATGCCTGAATTAAATATTTACGCGCTAAAATGTGAAAAATCTTGGGGAGGATCAAAAATCACATGTCTACACTAGGTTTCTTATCTTAGGAGAAAGATTCATCAGACTAAGACATTTATCCTAGGAGAAAATTCATCGGACTAGGTTTTCTATCTTAGGATAAAGATTCATCAGACTAAGAGTTCTAGCCTAGGAGAAAGTTCATCAGACTAGGTCTTCTATCTTAGGAGAAAGATTCATCAGACTAAGATTTTGATCCTGGGAGAAAATTTATCAGACTAGGTCTTCTATCTTAGGAGAAAGATTCATCAGACTAAGATTTTGATCCTGGGAGAAAATTTATCAGACTAGGTCTTCTATCTTAGGAGACAGAATCATCAGACTAAGATTTTGATCTTAGGAGAAAGTTCATCAGACTAGGTCTTCTATCTTAGGAGAAAGATTCATCAGACTAAGATTTTTATCCTATGAGAAAGATTAATCAGACTAAGATTTCTATCCTAGGAGAAAGTTCATCAAACTAGGTCTTTTTTTATGGTATCTTAGGAGAAAGATTCATCATACTAAGATTTTTATCCTAGGAGAAAGATCATCAGACTAGGTTTCCTATCTTAGGAGAAAAATTCATCAGACTAAGATTTTGATCCTAGGAGAAAGATTCATCAGACCAGGTTTTCTTTTTTGTCATCTTAGGAGAAAGATTCATCATACTAAGATTTATATCCTAGGAGAAAATTCATCAGACTAGGTTTTCTATCTTAGGAGAAAGATTCATCAGACTAATATTTTGATCCTAGGAGAAAGTTCATCAGACTAGGTCCTATCTTAGGAGAAAGATTCATCAGACTAAGATTTTGATCCTAGGAGAAAGTTCATCAGACTAGGTCCTATCTTAGGAGAAAGATTCATCAGACTAAGATTTTGATCCTAGGAGAAAGTTCATCAGACTAGGTCTCTTTTTTGGAATCTTAGGAGAAAGGTTCACCAGACTAAGATTTGATCCTAGGAGAAAGTTCATCAGCCTAGGTTTTCTTATCTTAGGAGAGAGATTCATCAGACTAAGACATTTATCCTATGAGAAAAATTTATCAGACTAAGTTTTCTTATCTTAGGAGAAAAATTCATCAGACTAAGATTTTTATTGGGAAGAAAATCCATCAGACTAGGACTTTTTATATTAGGAGGAAAAATGTGAAGATCAATGACAAGATTTTATGCACAACAGCAAGACAAATAAAGGCAAAGATTTGAGAAACTTCCCTTTGCCGGCTCTTCCCTTCTTTTATTTTTCTTTCTTTTCTTGTTTTTCTCTTCTTTTTTGTTTGAACCACTTTCCTTGCACTGCTTTGTTCCTGTTTCACACAAAGAAAAATTTGTCAGTTTTGAAAATGGTGGTCAGCTTGTAGCCTTGAGTCTTGGGCAGCTTTGCTTCTGCTCAATCAGCTTGAGTCAGTTTTAACAGACTTTTGCTATGCATCAACCCTGATTGTTTCACACCCAGTACCATTTGTATTTATGGATCAATCAGCCTTATCCCAACTAGAGATCTTTGCTTAGATGCTTTTGAGCAATTGGTCTGTCAGAGAGAATCACAAGTTATCTTTGCTTGTGTCAAGTAGGCTGACAAGAGTCTTTTGGGGGAGCCTTTGCATGAATCCTCAAGGTATATTGACAGTAACAACTAAGTGTGCTGGCCAAATTTACTTTATGCAACTGAAACGCTGGTAGCAGATTTGAAATCTTTTCTTGCTTGTTTTGACAAGGATGACTCAGAGTGAAAGACAGAATGATGCAAAGAAACAAGTATTAACAAGAAATGCCCCTATCAGAAGGACAGAAGGAAGAAATTTTTTATTATTTTTTTTTCTTTTTTTTCAATAACTAGCATTAATGATCATGACATGCATTTTGGACTTAACAGCCGATCTATCAAACTAACCAAATCTTCCCTTTTACCATTCTTATGACTTTGAAGTCGGGCTTGTTCGTGCTAATTCTTTGCATCAACTTCACGACTCACTTTCTATTAGTGGTGCCCCGAGGGATTTTCACCAACAAGCCTCTCTCATTTATTTATCTCTACTTATCGTCGCCTTACTGTGCCCGTGAGGGTTTTCACTGGTAAGACTCTCTCATTTCTTCTTTCTTTTTTTTTTGTTGCTTTGCTTCCTTGTGTGAGAAATTGTCAGTGCTCTATGTCGTGTGACGACCGTTGCAAATTGCATGCTTCTCTTGTCATTCTTGAAGGCATATCATGAGGTCTTATTTGGAAGGTTTTCGGAGAGGGTTGGAAAAAAGGGTCGGCATGAAGGCTCAAAGTAGACTCAATATGATGGGTTGTACACTTACAACTCTTAGAATCGACTCTTTTAAAAACTAAAACAAACTCATGCCCCAATTTTACATACTGAATTTTTTTCTTCTTATTTTTTCCTTTTCTTTTTCCTTTTTTTTGAATTCTTATTTGGGTTAGATCGAACCATGAGGCTACCTACCTATTCCTTTTTTAAAGGAATCAGGTCAAACGTAGTTCAAATATCTGACCTAACTATAATTTTCTTTTTGTTCCTATGTCTTTTTTACTTTTCTTTTCTTTTCTTTCTTTTCTTTCTTTTTCTTTTTTTGTTTGCCCCAGCTTCTATCTTCTGAGGGCATGGACCTTCGACAGTTCTTTTCTTCTTTTTTTTCACTTGAACTTTCAAAGAGCTGCCCCAGTTTGTACTCTTGGGGCATGGACCTTTATTGTTATTATTTTGTTTTTCATTTTTTTTACTCTAAATCTGATTCCAAAAGAGGGCGGTCAAAGAAAATAACACAGGCTCAAAAGAGATAACAAAGGGTATAAAGTATTTGGGTAGTAGAAAAAGGGTCTCCCAGCCTCGAGAACGCCAAACATAGTATCCCTTAGTGATCACATCATTGATGAACATGCCTGTATTCTTGGGTATTTTTCAGTGTAAAGTTGTATGAGCAATACTTTCCTCGCTGTGAATGACCCTTGTCATTTTGGGTGACTTTTCTTGGATTTTGTATTGATGTAGAAGATGCATTTTGCCACCAACTGATCCATTTTAAGTTGTCTGGAATACACCTTCTATTGAAAAACACTTTCTAACTCTTAGTGCTAAACAGACTTCAACCCGTCCGATTATCCTTAAGCCTGATCTTCTCAAATGATTCAAAAGGTAGAGATCCTTAACTTCCATGAGCATGACTTCTTTGGTTCCATGTAAACTTGGCTCATGCTCATTTTTCAATGTTTCATGTCTTTATTCATCTTCAAAAGTGTCTTTTTTTTTCTATCCAATTCAAGACTAAATCAGTTTTCTAATATCTGGCCAAAAATTTCGCATGCATATCATGTCACTAAAACTAGCGTGAAAAGAACTATGCACAAAATGGACACAAAATGACTGACTGCTTTTTATTGAATAAAGGATATCAGGGTCCGATAACACAAAAGAAGAAGAAAAAATGACAAAATAAGCTACCATGGCTAAAAGAGGAGTGATTTTCCAGTTACTAAGCAACATCTTAGCCACGCATTCGCACATCAGCATTACTACGGCATCTAACCATTTTGGTTGCTTTGGATTCAACACTCAAATTTTGACGATCATCCCGAGCAGCCCACGTCCTATTGCTTAAATCTAGTAAAGTCAATCCCACATTTGCCCCTATTTTTTTATTTTTCACCGCCAACTTGCCTGCTTGCCTTTTCGCGACCTTGGATCAACAACAATGGTGCTTGTTCCATCGGTTGAGAATATACTTTTATTTCCGAGAGATCTTGGATGGTTTTTGTGACTTGCCGTTGCAAACTAACAAACCGACCACCTTTAACTAGCTTTTACTTCAAAAACATCAAACATGTTAGAATAAACACTTTTTTTTTCTTTCCTTCTTTTTTTTGTGTTTTTTCCTTTTTTTGTATTTTTTTGTTTTTAACCATTCGATCGAACCTGATGTGGGCTGCCTACATATCATGTGGGAACATGAATCAGATCTTGCGTAGTTCGGGAAGATTAGGAATAAAGTAAATAAACTAACTCTTTTTTTGGATTTTGGACTTTTTTCGAAAGAAAGACTTAAAAAGAAGAAACAAAATATTTTTGGATTTCGATTTATTTTTTTGTTTCTTGTTTTTTTGAAATATTTGAAAAGAAAGACTTCTAAAAAAGAAAGGAAATATTTTTGGATTTTTTGAAATTTTATTTTGAATTTATGAAAGAAATGATTCTAAAGAAAAAGAAAATATTTTTGAATCTTGAATTTTCTTTTCAATTTTTGAAAGAAGAATGAAAATATTATTGGATTTTGAGAAGAAATTAAAAGAAAATATTTTTGTATATATTTTTAAAAATTAGGGTCTAAAAGAAAGACTTTCTAAAGAAGCAAGTAATGAAAATATTTTTGGATTTTTTAAAAATTATGGGCCGGAACCGATGAGGTTTGCCTACGTATCTCACATCCGGTGAGAATCAGACCTACGTAGTTCGCCAGTTTTGACATATTTGAAAGAGATACATTATTGACTCATTTTGAAATGACTATTTTCCTTGACTTTTTCTTCTTTTTTTTTTGAAAATTTTGGCAGAGTTTTAGGATATTTCAAATACCGAGGATTTTCAGAACCGGGTGAATTCTCTATCCTACCTCACTCTTGGTTTTTCTCTTGATTTTCTTTTCCTAGTCGACCAACATGCAAACTGAAACAAATAAATGTACACATAGCACGTAAGATGCATCAAGATGGTCTTTTATTTTGGGTACACCTATCATAGACGGACCCAACCCCTGTGTTGAGTCTCCAAGGTCAAATGCACGTGATGCAAACAGATATTGCTACTAGGGATCCGGCATGAAGCTATGTTATTCTAGGTTTAACCTGGGGTTGTGTTCTGGACCTGGCTTACCCAAGCGGACAACTCGAGCCGAGGTGGGGGCAACGTACCGGGAGCACGAAAGTCTACCCGGCCTTGTTACTGGCCCAACCTCGTTCTATTTGGTATAACTTCTAACAGAAAAGTGGGTCACGCGAACGTGTGCACCATTTTTTAGAAGACTCAGATGGGAAGCGTAAGAAGACAATTTAATACAATTCAAATAATATCAAAGTGGTAAATAAGCGGCAATTAGCACATTAGGTCCACAAATACAGTAATATCAACAAACAATAAAGTCAAGCATAGATCATATTAACAAGCTCGAATTCTTGAACCCTGAACCAGAAGTTCGGGATTCTGATCCCCAGCAGAGTCGCCAGAGCTGTCACACCTCCTTTTTTACCACTCGAGAGGGAGTACTAAGGGAGTTTTTTTCAATTTAAGTGATAATCGAAACGGGATTGTTTATATTAAATTCAGAGTCGACACTTGGAATAATTTATGGTGTCCTAAGTTACTGGTTTAAAATCTGAATCGAGGAAGTTTGACTCTAATTTATGGACTGCGAACACAAAAAACTGGATAAGGAATTCTGTTAACCCGGGAAAAGGTGTTAGGCATTCCCGGATTTCATGATTTTAGCACGGTCGCTTTAATCATACTTGGCTCAATTAAATTGTCCAATTACTTATTTTAGAACCTATGTGCATTTACCTCTTTTATTCAAAAATTATCTTAAAATAGGTCACGCGTACGTGTATCCATTTGTTTGGCGCGTCAAAAATCATGTCACGCGAACGTGTCCACAATTAATAACCCTTTTATTATTATTAAGAAAATTTAGCCGAAGTTGCGTGAACACATACCTCAATTTATTTTGAAAATCGTAATTATGTCACGCGAACGTGTACACAATCACGATGATAGATTAAAAGCGCGCCTAAAAGTATACTAGTGGTGATCATTATTCTTATTATATTTTTGGGGTTCATTAGGCCAAAACATCAATGCATATAGTTTGCTAAAGATAGATGTAAACTTCATATTTCCATGAATTTCCAGCAAAGTAATCGTATTCACCATAAAGGAACTTAGCGAATTATTAACATTATGCTAGAAGTTTGGCCAAACCAACCCAACTCCTAGCTCATATACTACTATCCCTCTATTATTAACTGCTTAAAAAAGAATCATTCACTTAAATTCTATGATTAATCTAAAGAGCACAATTAAACTATCATAAACAATAAGGAGCAAAAAGACGGTGGATCAACATATATAACACTCACAAATTGAGACAAACACGAGATTTTGTAATATCGACAGTAAACAACGGAAAAGGATGGACCTTGATTTGATGAAAATTTCCCGACGGCTATAGTAATGGAAGCTCCAAAACAGTGAATCTTGAGCAAGCTATAAAACAGACACACGAACCGGAATTAGAACCTCGAACGGCGCCCCGAATCAGCAGCTAACATAAAACTTTGATCCTCGACGGATCCCCGAATTGAACACGAACTCAGTTTTTCCACATTTTTTTCTCATAGACGATTCTACTCAATTTGTTATGAATTCAAGCATTTGGACAGTTCTTTTATTTATTTTTACAATAGAAGCAACTTTGGATTCATCTTCCTCCCACCAACATCAAATAAAGATTTTCTATATTGAAGAAGAACCCGAACACATGAATATAGAAACAAGAACGCATAGACAAAATTAATCATATACTTAGCTTCTTATAAAATAAGACGTTGCACCCAATTATCCAGATCACTCCAAAATTAATAAAACCATTCAAGTGGAGGAATTGAAATATGACCCATAGCTAAGAAAGATGGCGAGAAGGGACTTCTAACAAGGGAAATGAACTGGGGTGAGAAGAAGGTCGTAGGTTTGTGATGTTTTGGGG